CCACCAGCTCCTCGACCTGCCAGGCCCAGTCGCCAGAGCTACTGTCCGTGTCAAGGCCGCTTCCTGTTGTTGTGCTTAGAGTCCCCAGTGCTGCTTGTTCCTTCAAGGATTTCCTGTCGTCAGCCTGGGACACATAGCCCACAGCCCCAGAGCTGCCAGCAGGACCCTGGGCCCTCTGCCTCCATGCTCTGATTCTAGCTGGGCTCACAGGATTCTCCGTCCTCCCCATTCAGGCCACCTGGTGCCCTCATGTGCTGGTTCGGTGCTGGCCCCACTGGCTCCGGCAGAGGAGAGACCTCTGGGCCTTGTCCACCCCCAGGGTGTCCAGCCTGGGCTTCCCTGGAGGCCTCTCACACAGCCTGAGAGAAACTGCCTGGTTCTGAACAACTAGGGACATGACCTGAAGCTGCCAGAAGCCTGGGGGAGGCGGAAGGTGAGGACAAAGAGTAAGAGGGTTAGATTTTGAGAGGACTTCCCAAAGAAGCCAATAGAGAATTGGGAAATAGGTTGAAAGAGGAAAAGAAGGTACCCAGGTAGGAGGGTGCCGGACAGCAGCAAAGTCAGGGGGGCTGGAATCTGGAAGAGATGGCAGTGGGAGTGCAGAAGGACAGATGGGGAGAGAGTGTTTTGTAGGATTTGGAGAAAACAGGTTTCTCTCTGAGGGCACCTCCTCCCTCCCAGTCAGTTCTCAGGCTCAGGCTCTAAGCAAGGGTCTGGGGCACACGCCTCCCTCTGGCCCTGCCAGCGCTCACAGATCATCCCCCATGGCTGCCAAGCCCCTTGCCTCCTGCCCAGCCAGCCTTCAGGAAGGACAGGCGGAGGCCAGAACACACGCTCCCCACACGGCCTGAGATAAATATTTCCCGGGAAACGGAACTTGTTCTCTCTGTGTTTACAGCCAAGGGCCAGGAAGGGCTGTGGGGGAGGGGGCCGAAGAACCTCACTGGGGCCCACTGCTTGGAGCCCAGGCGCTGCCTCAGACCTGCTGTGAGCCTCTGAGCCAGTCCCTGCGTCTCTGAGGACGGCACCTCCCAGGGCCTGGGCCTGCCCATGAGCCTGGCCTGCTCTCAGCTGTGCCTTCTCTGGGTAGACGTCCCCAGAGCTCAGTGTCTCAGCTCAGATGAGGCTCCCCTGATGGCAGGACCTGGACTGCCCGTGCCTGCCTTGTCCACAGTCAGTCAAGGGTCTGGACAGATGGATGGGCAGACAGACAGAGAGACAGGCCCCAGTGACAGCTGAGACTGCCTGCCTGGCCCCAGGTCCCTGCACACCCCAGGCTTGTGCAGCTCAACAGGTGGGCCAGACAGATGGCAAGGCCTCAGGCCCCCACCATGCCAGATGCTATGGCCAACTTGTTGGCCTGACTCCCTTGGGGCAGCCGGGCATCACTGAGGCCACGTGCTCCTGGTGAGCAGGAGCCAGGAGGAGACGGGCACATCTGGCAACTGGCATTCGCTCAGGAGCCCTAACTGCGGGCCTGCCAAGTGCTGCTGCAGTGGTCCTCCCAGCCTCAGCCCACTCTCCCTGCCCGGAGCCTGTGCCCACCCACGGACCACTCCCCAGCGGCACCCACCTGCATGCCTTTGCACAAGCTGTCTTTGCCCCATGAGGCCTTTCCTAATCCCAGTGGCAATCCTGCCTTACACAACTACCCTTACACGAGCTTTCTGGAACCAGGCTCTAAGCACTGAGCCAACCTCCCAGAGCCCCCTCTGGGACTGAGACCTAGCCCGCTCTGGGGCTAGGTTTCTCCAGCTGCCTGTTTTCTCACTGCCTTTAGCTGGTCCTGTCATAGCTGGCCATGGGCCTCTCTGACCACCCAGCTGATCTCTGGCTTCATCATTCAATGGCCTAGACCTTATCCATCCTTCCAAGTTCCAAGGCTGCCTCCTCCAGAAAGTCTCCAAGATTGCCCTAATCCAGCAACTATGTTTCCTTCTTGGAGTTACTCCAACCCTGCCCACAGTCATTCTCACTCATTCAAGAAGTGTCTATGAGCCCGTACTATACACAAGCCTCTCCAGCCCCAGAGGGACCCAGAAGAGATAAAGGAGACTCAGCTGTGGTCCCTGCCCCCAGGCGTTTACGATCACATGGGAACGGACACATAACCTGCATAACCGTGCGGGATAACAAGGTACCCTACTGTGGGCTCAGGAAAATTTGCGGGCTGTGAGTGCCCAGGAAAGGGCACAGTGACTCAGCCTCCGCAGTCTGAGGAGGACTTCACATAGGAGGTCGCATTTATTCTGGGCCTTGAAAGCAAGCAAGTAAAGACAAAGAGCAAAGCAGTCTGGAGGGGTCGGGGTGGGCAAAGGCAGGCAGGCACGGAGTGCTGGTTTGCACAGGGGAGGGCATGGTCTGTGGCTGAGCAGACGGTGTGCTGGCTGGGGGCAAGGAGTGGACACCGGGACCCCAGCAGGTGAGGCGAGCAATGCCATGCCATGGTTGTGGCCTTGCTAGGCCCAAGGGCAGCAGCAGCGGGGCCAGTGCTGGCCAGTGCACTGGGTGGTGGTGTAGTGGCTGAGCCCTCGCCCCCATCTGCCTCGCTCGCCACACCCCCATCAGGGCCTGGGCCAGCAGTGAAGGCATCCACTCGGTGAGCTCTGCTCACCTCCCTGAGCTGCCTCGGTCAGACTTCCAGAGAGAGCAGTGATGCACCGCCTGGCCCTGAGTGGGGGAGGGGGTGTGCAAGGACAAGCCGGGAGAGCCCCTCCTTCAAGCCGTGAGCTGGCACGGGGACTAGGGAGCCATCCCAGGAGCGCGTGTTGAACAGATGCCCACTGGGCGGGGATGATGCTGGCAGCTCTGCTCCATGGGCTGCACCCAGCCAGTGCCAGGGAGCACGCGGTGCCCGGAGCTCCCCTCAGCCCCGGCAGCTCTGCACACTCACTGTCACACAGGGGCAGCCCAGTCCTGGCTCCAGGGATGTACCCTTCAGGAGACGGGGGAGGGCCCTGCCGTGGGCCCCACACACATCCTGTCACCCCACTCTCGCCCTACCCTCTCCATGTTGGGAAGTCCCCAAGGGCAACCTGTCTTCCCCAGCAGGACCGAGTGTGGTCTGGGCGCTTGGAGTGGAGGGGCTAATGGAACTCAGAAACAGAGCAGGCCCTGCCAGGTAGCCAAGTAGGTTTGGCAGGCGGGACAGGACAGAGCCGAGAGCTGAGGGGCTCATGGCTTAGGATCCTCCGTCAGAGGGAGGGGCAGCAGGACCCAGATGAAGACAAAGCAGAGACAGAAAACAGGAGTGGGAGCAGACAGGGCTGCTGGGCAGGCCTTGGGGAGAGGAGGAGGGTGGGCAGCTGGGAGAGAGGCAGGGCTTGGACTCTGGGAGAAGGGCCCACCAGGCAGGGGGCGGTGCACAGAGGCGTATGCAGGAGCTGGAGCAGCTCCTTCCTCAGAGCCCACCCCCCAGGGAGGTCTCAGCTTCTCCAAATGCCCCCCCACCCCGCCACCCGCCCTCCTGGCTTCCTGGGCAGATGACAAATCCAGTCTTTCCTGGCGGGTGGCCACTGCTGGCTCCCAGGAACACCATCTGTCCCAGCTCAGGGGGGAGCCCCGGCCCCATGGGGAATGCCATGGTGGTAAATAAATTAGTAATGGCTCCCCAGGCGCTGCCTTCCCTCATGGAAACAGACCTTGGTGTCCCACAGAACCCACGCTGAGCCCCCTGTGCACAGGACATCTCTGTCCCCTTCTGGTGGAGGGCAGGGAGTGAGCAAAGCTGAGCACAGCTACATCTGGGCTCCCCTCGACCCTCTGGTCACAGCGTCCCCAAACATAAGAGGAGGACGGCAGCAGCCCTGTCTCACAGGGAAGTCGTGAGAGTCCAGCGAGGGAGCGTGGAGAAAGCTCCTGGCACGTGAAGGGCTGATGCCAGTGGCACCCTCCTCTCTTCTTCAGCCAGAGTTGGACACAGGCAGACTCAGGCTGCTCTGGCTGCACGATGCCATTTCCACACGCACATGCACACACACACACACGCGTGTACATGCCTTCCCTGCGCCAGTCTTCAACCTCTGCAGCCCTCTCTGTTTTTGCTCAAGGCCCCTCTGAGCACTGGAGGTTCCTACGAGACACCCAAAGGCAAGGTCCAGGGCTGGGATTGACGTCTCTCGTACCAAAGGAATGCGCTGACAGCCCTGTCCCCACCCGAGGGCTCTGGGAGATTCAGGAGGAAAGCACAGGCCCTGGGCTCAAGGAGCTCGCAGTGCAGCCAGGACGAGCCAGACAGACATCCAGAGCCATGGGAGAGAGAACAGGGTGGCAGTGGGCGACAGAGAGCAGGACGCCCAGCCTCTGACTGACCAGGCAGGGGAGCTCAGAGGAGGAAACATGAGTGAGCTTGGTCTGTGGTGAGGGGCAGGAGGACTTCCTGGAGGAGGAGAGGCAGGAGCTGAGCCCAGGAGGAGTTAGGAAGCTGAGCGGGAGGAGGCATGCAGGGGTGGTATGGAGGAGGCAGGAGCAGTCTCAGGAGAGACTGCTGCCAGGATGGGGCTGCTGGAGGGCAGGGGTGGGGCGCCTGGGGGATTTTTGAGCAGAAGGACAAGTTCAGGTTTGTGTATTAAGCAGATGCCACCACTGGAGGTCAGGGACAACTGAAAGCAGGCAGCCAGGAGTGGCCACTGAGGGGATGGCAGGTCCAGACTCAGGCAGGCAGCAGGAACGAAGGGGAGGCAAGGAACGAGAAGAGCTCGGGGCAGAGGATGTGCAGGGACTGTAAGGTGAGGGCGGGGAGGACCAGGCAGGAGTCTGACATGACTCCCTGGGGAGCAGGGAGTAGGAGGAGCCCTCTGTGCGGGAACCCCCACCGAAATACAGGACGAGGGAAGACAGTCTTGGCGCAGGATGGCCCTAGGCTGGAGGGGGTGGGGATGGGGTGGGATGCGGCTCCAGCCTCCCAGTCCTCCCAGGGGTGAGGGCAATGCTCAGACTGACCCCCAGCCCGCGCCCCCACCCCACCAAGCCCACCCATCCTCCCTCCTCTGAGCTCTCACCTCCAGTCGGCCATCTCTACTCCCTGAGGACTCTGGCTCCCGGGCAAGGTGGTCCTGGCTGGCTGCGGAGATAAGAAGGCCAGGGCTGAAGCCTGTCAGGCTTTCTCCCCGCCTCCCCAGCCTGCCCTCCCATCAGCCCCCAGCAAGTCCACAGGTGGCCACCTCCTCCAGGAGGCCATGCCTGGTTGTACCCTGCTCTCCCCGAGACTCTCTTCTTGCTCCCTGCATCCCATGGGCACTTCAGGTTCTTCGTGCCCTCTGTCCCTCCACACCTTTGTCCTTCCACACCCTCTGTCCCTCCACACCTCTGACACACCACTCTGAGAACTGGGCCACAGTCTTTCTTTCTACCCAGGGCACCTAAGGAACAGAAATGACATCTTCACCCCATCTGAGGCCCCCTCCACTTCTGCTTCCCTCCAGGGAGCTCCTCACCCCTCCGAGCCTCAGTTTCCTCCCTGTAAAATGAGGTCTGTAATGTCCGCCTCTCTGAGCATCCTCGTCAGGCTGGGCCTTCGCTCTCAGGGCTCCAGCCCAGGCCTGCAGTGAGTCCCAAATGCATGAGATTGCACAGCGAGCCCCGATCCCAGCGAGGCATCCCTCCATCACCACGTCCACAGCGCCTCGAGGCAGGCAGCGAGACGCAGCCACAGGAGCCT